CCGCTGTTGAAACTGATCAGTTTCAGCAGCGGCTGAATCTGGACGCCAGTTCCGACTTACATACAGATTCAACCTAAGAACAAACCTACAGTCCCTATCTTGTACGTAACCCGGGGACTGCCTGTATACTTTTTTTTTTTTTTAACTTTACTATGTGGAATAAAAGACATTTCTGAAGGCACTCCTACCAGTAGCCATTTGTGGTCCAGTAGCTGCTTTAAAATACTATTTGTAAAAAAGCTACATAGAGCATTTTTAAACCGCTTCCATTTTATCTGTTGATAATAGGAGGAGAGAATTTCAACTGGTAGGTGGGCCCCAACATATTTTTTTAATAAACTTGGGGGGGAGAAGTTTAAATTGATTGCTTTTTTTTTTTTAACCTCCTCTGTTTCTCACCTCTTTCCTGAAATACTTAGTAACTGGGGTAAGGGTAGCTGGAATCACTTTCCCTATTCTTTACAACTGAATCCTTTCTTTAAAACAAAAAATGAAACCCTATAAACTAGAAATAGATGGGATGGAGGGTAGTGAAAAAGAAATGGGATACCATTATCTACAATTGCATAGTCTGGTAATAAGGTGGAAATGTTTACATATGTGCATCGTTGTAGATTTAGACATAGATAGGATGTCTGCATTTGGAATATAGCTTTGTATAGTCAGCACCCACATTTATTCATAGATAAAACATCTGTCTAAATCCAGTGGGTGAGCTACCTTTTCACAAATACAGAACTCTTCAGTGTTTATGCCAAGCTTTTAAATCAGTGGGCAGTGGTACATTTTATTTCGTCTGTTCCCCTAGAGAGTTGCTCAAGTGCTTTGGAATCAGCTGAACAAAGAGACAAGGGAGCATCACATTACATGTGTGGAGCTGTTTTATAGGCTGCACTGCTTGGCTCCATCAGCTAACATTTGTGAAGATATTATTTGTCATTCACTCTTGGATCATGATAAAGTAAGTCTTGTGTTTCCTAGGTTGCCTAATTATTGTAGTACCTTTCCTCTGTTCCCCTTAGCCTAGCTTCCACCCCCTGCAACAAAGCTTCAGGGCTAGACCATGGAATAGGCAAACTATGTTTAAAATGAGCACATTTCCTTCAATAATTTAACTTCTCTATTCTGAAGATAGATCAGTTCTTTCTTAACTTGCATATTAGATGTCAGAAAAACTAAGTAAATAGTCACATGATGTTGCTATACTAACCATTCTTAAGCTTTTGTGATGTATATGAATATATATCTTTGCTGTGAAACTTGCTCTATATCAGGATCTGTACAGGGGTTATGGGTATCTGAATAGTCAAGAATTTGGAAACTTATAGACTCTTAAGCACATTCAAATCCTCAGTAAAGACTGCCCTTTTAATAACAGGCCCTCTGTATCGGCCATCTTTGTTATCCAACCCACGACAACTCAGATTAAAATACTGTAAATAGGAATTCCAAACATATCTTTGCTTTGAAATATCAGCTTTTTTTAATCCACTAAATGCTTTATTTGATTTTGATTGCTTTGGGTTCTGAGGTATATGACAAGACAATGGCATTTGTGTGTGAGTCCTATCTAAAAATGGGAAACAGGTGCATAATTCTTATGATTTTTAGAAGTATCTGTGCAGTAAGCATTGTTTACTGGAGCCTTTTAAATACACTACATTTACCTCAGAATCAAAAAGTTCTTGTTTGCCCCTCCCCTCTTTCTTCTTCTGTTAAGGGGACAAGGCTGGAGGCACTGTTCAGGTTTTCTGTGATATGGCATTTGACCAGAGAAATCCAAGGCAGCAGAGTCACTTCCCACAATCGATCCTTTGACAGGTATTGCTGTACTTTAATTTACATGCCTTAGTGTTTATATAAAATATTTAGTTATGCTTTTTTGCTTTTAAAAAAAAATCACCTGGACAGTTGTATAAACCAAAGGAAGGATGTTAAAAATATTTATTTTTAACTTAAAAAAATAAAAAGCCCTCTTTGTGTTGGTTAACCATCTTCCAGGGCAAGTAATAAAGTAGTTGAGGTGTCAGGCTGGAGGGTGCCTTGAGGGGGAATAGAAGCGTGGGGTCTCTGCTGGGAGTTGCTTTCCGTGTTGCAGGAAAGTGAACAACCTTGGCTCCACCTCTTGTTGATGCAGGAAGTCACATCTGGTTGGAGGTGGGGCAGTTCCCCAGAAAAGGATTAAAAAGGCCTGGCAAAAGCAGCTGAATTCAAAATATTGTTAAAATAATCCCGGGGTGGCGGGTTACTCATTGCGATCCTCAGTCTGGTACAATGAGCCAAGTTTCAAGCCTTGTGAAGTAGGAGAAGATATAATAAAGACACTCTAACTGCAGATTAGGGATGTTAAAATGTAGTTATTTTACTAATGGAGTAGTCAATAGAATTTTTATCAACTACTCGATTAGTCGATAGGGGAAAGCAGTTGGCTCAGTCCCAGCTTGTGCTGGGATCAAACTGTGCTGCAGCTCTGCAAAGCAAAATGCAGTAGGAGCCGGGAGCGTGGGGGACAGGCCGTCCAGTTCCTGCTGTGTTTTCAATTGCAGAGCCACAGCAGGGATTGGTCCCGGCATGAGCTGGGACTGCACCGAGCTACCTGCCCGGTTTCCAGCCACTCCTGTCCGCAGCGGGTCCCAGTGGGGAGTTGGAACCCTCATGGACAGGGGCTGCTGCTGGAGCCACCTCCACTGTCTGCAGCAGCAAGGGGTGGACAGGCAGCACCACAGAAATGGTGCTAGGGAGAGCCACTTTTAAGCTGGTTTCCCCCCAGCACTGGCTCCAGCTCCCCCTGCCTTTATATCAGAGGCAGCAGGTCGGGGAGAAATGCAAATAGTCAACTTCACTAGCTGATAAGCCTAGGCTTACTGGGTAGTCAACTACTCACTTACATCCCTACTGCAGATAGTGTCTGTGGTATACACACATGTAATATGTTTTGCCTTGCTCTGAAAACACACATGCTTGACTTTGAACTCAGTGACCCTAATCTTAGGCATTGGAATTACTATCTGGAGTAAAGCTAAAGTATTTGCAGGAATGGGTCTAAAAATGTGTTTCAATTTTACTTCTCCCTTGTGATTTTCTCCATTCAGGTCTCTGTTTGTGGTACTGGACAGTCTAAATTGTTCAGATGGGGCAATTGGTGCCACAGCACAGGGCTGGCTGATTCGTGCTCTCTCGCTTGATGATGTTGCACGAATTCTTGAGCCAGTACTCCTGCTGCTTCTTCATCCAAAGACTCAGCGTACATCTATCCATTTCATCAAGCAGAAGAATACGGCAGGTAAATCTGCTCTCAAACTGTTACATTTTCAGTCTTAAGTAAATTAACAGTCACTTTTGCATACTATTGAACTCCATTTTAAATCGGTCTGTCACCTTTAGGAGTCATGCTCTTCAGTTTGAGATGTGTCCTTATAAAATAGCAATTCCTTCTGTGCATATCATTCTTCTGAGTTACACGTCTAATAGAGTGTAAACACAATTTTGGAATAAGCCACCCATTAGTACCTTATTTTGGATCAACATTACTGCAAAAGAAGCTTCTAAGCCTCCTAATAGTTGAAATAATTGTTATTTAAACCAGCAATCTGCTTGCAAAATTGTTTTGCTGCCTTGTTGCTATCTCGTTGACTTGCCAATAATCATCATCTTTATTACTTTTTATATTGTAGTAGCACCCAAAGTCTCTTGTGCTAGATGATGGTGCAATCATAGAGGTGGACAAAGTAGTTGCCCCAAAGAGTTTACAGTCTGAGAAGGTTCACCATCTCAAAAATCTTGTGTTCTGCTACTACCTTTTGTTGAGACACTCAATGCAATAAACTTATTAAATACATATGTGGGCATCATAAAATGCATTCTCTATTGTTTGTGCAGCATATTTTGAGCTAGGTTGATTATTAAATATAAGAATGGCATCCCTGATCGTATGATTCCATCATAAAACATAACTGCTAAATTTAATGTATTTCCTTGGCATAAATAAGATTACTAATTTTAATGTAAAGTCAGTTACTTGATCACCATTACATTTTCTCTTAGGCTATGTCTACACAGCAGTGTTATTTCAGAATAACATGTTATTCCGAAATAACATAGTCTGCATCTACACTACAAGCAGTTTTTTCAACATAATGTTGAGCTAGAGGACTTCTTACTCCAACTCCTGTAACCCTCATTCTACAAGGAGTAAGGAAGTCGGAGGAAGAATGCTCTTTTTCAGACTAGCAGCTGTGTAGACAGCATCAACAGCCAAAATAAGCTATTTTCACTTGAGCTACACAATTGACATAGCTGAAGTTGCGTAGCTTATTTCAGCTTTAGCCCTGCTGTGTAGACATTCCCTTACAGGTTCTTTCTATGTAAATCAATGTATTAATCAACTGCCATAATAAACTCTAATTGTTTTGAAATCTTCATTTTTTTTAAAATTTTTTTTTAGAAGACTTACATCGTTGGCTTAAGAAGAATGCCTCTTTCAAAGAGCTGTTGGGAACCTCTGAGCTACATGAAAGCAGTTCTGAAGAAAACATACCACTGAACCAATTTACAACTGTGGACAGGGAAGCTCTTTGGGCTGAAGTGGAAACAGATCCAGAGAACTCTCAGCTGAAAAAGGGACTTTCTGAAAATGGACCCTCTCACTGTAGGGAACTTTCAGAAGATATCGGTGAAGATCACAATAACAGTGAACACACAGAATCTGCAGATACCAGCACAGGACAAATTGATAGTGAAAATACATCATCTTTTTCTCCTTCTCTAGATCCACAAGAAATGAGCCATGAGGAGAATGGTAGTAGAACTACAATTGACCAAAGAGAAAACATGAATCAAGTTAGTTCATCTAATGCTTTCCCTCCTCATGGCTCCAAATCCAGTACTGTGTTAAATCTTGTGCGGACAGATTCTGAGAGAACTCAAGCATCAGAATCGCTGTCAAGTGATGAGGAGGTGGACTTGGAACTCCAAGCAATTACAACTTCTAGGCTGCTCAAGCAGCAGAAGGAAAAACAAGAGATGATAGAGGCTCTGTTCAAACATATTCTCTTGTATTTTCAGCCTTATGATTCCAAGAGGGTTTTGTATGGATTTTCTGTATTGGAGGCAGTGCTGAAAACCAACCCTAAAGAATTTATTGAAGCTGTAGCCAGTACTAGCATGGATACAAGCTCCACAGCTCATTTGAATCTCATCTATAATCTGCTAGCCCGGCACCAGGAAGCTCTTGTGGGACAGAGCTTTTATGGTAAGCTTCAGACTCAGTCACCAACCATGTGTCCCCATTCTTTACTAATAGAATTGCTGACTTACCTCTGTTTGAGTTATCTGCGCTCTTACTATCCATGCTACTTGACGGTAACCCACAAAGATGTGCTCGGCAACAGAGATGTCCAAGTCAAAAGTGTAGAAGTCTTGATTAGGATGATGACACAGCTGGCCACAATGGCAAAGTCAGCAGAAAACAAGAATATCGAGTTTATACAGAACTTGCTTGCAAGATGCAAAATCCAAGAGTTTGTTCTTCTTTCTTTGTCTGCTTCTATGTATACAAGTCAAAAACGGTATGAAGTGATGACCACTGATAAAATTAACAGTGTCATCAAAGAGAGCTTCTTTGAAGAAAGCCTTATCAATTTTGGCCAAGATCAGATATGGAGTGAACACCCCCTTCAGATTGAGCTGTTGAAGCTTTTGCAAATATTGATTGTCTTGGAGCACCATCTTGGACAGACTCACGAGGAACAAGAGAACCAGCCAGACCTATCTAAGGAATGGCAACGGGCTCTTAATTTCCAGCAGGCTATTAGTGCTTTGCAGTATGTGCCTCCACACCCAATAACTTCCCAAGGATTGTTTGTCTCTGCTGTAATTAGAGGTTTGCAGCCAGAGTATGGTTATGGAATGCATTCATCTTGGGTAGGCTTAGTCACACATTCTTTGCCATACTTTGGGAAATCTTTAGGCTGGACTGTGGCACCATTTATCATACAGATATGTAAAAACCTGGATGAACTCGTTAAACAATATGAAAACGAAGCTGTGAAGATGTCTGTGAGGTAAGAGTCATAAATGCAGTATTTTGATATAGATTTAACTATTCGGTACGAAGTACCAATGAGCTTATTTTTCCTCAACCCTTATACTGTTATCTAGGCAAAGTTTCTAAAATAACCTGTATTTCTGATACCTCAGCAACTGGAATATAGAACCAAATGCTCTTTTGACAAGAATAGTCATGTGAAGAATAAAAATATTCAGTTGTTGTACTGCTAATAACTATTGTGTTTTCTCCAAAGTGTAACTTCTAAAAGGGAGAACATTACACCAGATTATCCTCTGACGCTTTTGGAAGGCTTAACAACCATTGGTCATTTTTGCCTTTTGGATCATCCTAATCAAGCCAAAAAGGTAGCAAACTGCTTCTCCAAATGCCAACCATGCATTTGTCAGTTTGGCCTCAGTTCAGCAAAATACTTAAGTTCTTGGCTGAATTGTGACCATAAATGATGAATAAACATTTATTTTTGAGAGCCCAGAAAAGATAGGCTATCACCATAGGGGTAGCAGAATCCTTTTCCAACATGGAAGGGGAACTGGCTTGTATAGAGGAGAATCATCTATGAGCAGAGGACAAGATAATTATTCTCTCACACCAAATCCATTTGTGCTGAAAATATTTGTATTTGGATTATTGGACACTACTCATTTATGGGCGAAGTACAGTATACTCAAATTATTCCTAAATAAGTTGAATGTATGAAGAAAAGTATGTCACACTGTCAAAAAAAAAAAAAGCTATAAAATAATTTCTTATGAAAGCTTCTCGATGACAATATACACCTTATTTCTGAATATATTTGGTATGGTGTTCATTGAAAGTGTTAGTGAACAAAATGTGTACATCTTAAAAACCTAACTACAGGCAACTCTGCGCCTTTCCCCCCCCCCCCCCCCTTCTTCCTTTAATTGCAAAACCAGAACGACACCTTAATTTGGTCTTCCCCACACAAATATTTATGAATTTTATGATTCTTGTCCTGCAATTACTCTCCTTCCTTGGTTTAACTGGAAAGTTTCTATAGAATAAATAATCAAGAGAATAGTAGTGGCATGTGTTCAAAATGAGACTGTATTTCACACTTTTTTGTTATAAACTATATGAAAAATATGGTTGCATAATTTGCACCACATATTAGAAGAGGTTATGGCCTGAAATAGAGAAATTAACTCTTTAAACAAAAGCAAAATAAGTAGAATGTTATACTACAGTTAAACATGCTTACTGAAGGAATGCAAGTCTCACACCGGGCAGGTTCAAGCAGGAGGCCTTTATTACACACAGCTGGTGGAGTGTCATTTTACTTGCTAGGCTCATTGAGACTGACAAACAGCTGATTACAGTGGATTATATTGGGTGCCGATGGGCAGAGAAAAGTGATGGGGTGGAAGTTCCCGAATCCCTGGATAGGTTCTAGCAGCAAGACATAATGAGCATAATAAGCCAATAGTCTAAAAGATTACATGAATGCTCTACCTATAACACAGGTTTACACGTTTGCTAGTACGGTTTTTGTCTTGCAGTAAGTAGTTTAAATCTTGATTTCAGGTCCTTAGAAATGACGGGTAGCACCTCTCAACAGGTTTGCCCTCAGGTACATTCCTATATGGTCTTAAAACAAAGAGAACAGTAAACAGTACACAGCATTGACAATTGTATATAGTCTGTCAATGCACCCCTTTGGACTCATATTGGCATCTGTGAGGGGCAGATATAATTACTCATGCTGACATGTTAGCCTTCTCCCTGAACCCAGTTGGTATTTGGGGAGGATCCACTCTTATCTCTTCCTGAACTGGGGAGCGGACTTTGAAGCCCCTCTCAGTGAGTTATGTGCCTATAACTCACGATAAGGCCCCAGTTACTGCTCTGCATCTGGGGTTATGCTGTCTCAGCTTTGTTTTATGCCTAGTTGTACAAACAAGATTTGTTTCCTGCTTATCTTTGCTTTCCGTAAGCCATGTTTTGTCCATTGTTAGCTAGGTCTCAGGCCTCAGTCTAGGCATGTTCCCATTTGCACGTATGTGAAAGATTCTTAACAAAGGCTGTGGTCAGAATCTTTCATACATATTATTGAGATTTTAGCCTTCGCCCATTTTGTAAGTGACAGTAAATTTCATAAACAGAACAATTGAGTGACCTAGTGCTTTGCAAAATCATTATTGCAAAAAGACTTCTTGGGAGAAAGCAGATGTCCACAGTAAAGATTGTGTAACCATGTTAAAAATAATGATCTGCATACACTTGATGTCCACAGAGTATGTTGTTTAATATAGACTTTTCTGTTTTCCTAGGGGTCACCTACGATTGACCCTACTAACCTGAAAAATGCCAGAAATGCCATCTTGGAAGAATTGCCTCGTATTATTAACACAATGGCCCTCCTTTGGAGCGTTATAAAAAAGGAAGACTCTCAAAAAAGACCAACTGACTTTCTTGGAACAACCAAAGGCTCCTCTTCAGTTTACTTTAAGGCAACCAAAGTAGGAATCCATTCCGAGCAACGATTGACCCTACTAACCTGAAAAATGCCAGAAATGCCATCTTGGAAGAATTGCCTCGTATTATTAACACAATGGCCCTCCTTTGGAGCGTTATAAAAAAGGAAGACTCTCAAAAAAGACCAACTGACTTTCTTGGAACAACCAAAGGCTCCTCTTCAGTTTACTTTAAGGCAACCAAAGTAGGAATCCATTCCGAGCACTCTTTCTCCTCTTCCCAACTCCCTCCCCCTCACCCACAGGGAGGGTTCTTAAATAGGCCTCCAGGCAGCCTCAATTGGTTTCACCTGGGCCTTAATTGATTTTGCAGCCGCCCTGTCTCAGCTGCCCCTAATTAGCCAGAATTGCTGTACCTTTTGTGTAATTTCTTATATATGGTTTTGGCAATCTCAAAATGGCAAAGTAGTTTTGAAGTTTCTAAAATTCATAGGCTTCAGAGTAGGGATGTTAAATTTAGTTCTACTAATCGACTAGTCGATTCCAAGCTCACACTGGGTGCCTGCTACTCTCCTGCCCCTTGCGTAGACGGTACTTGGGGGAACCAGCTTTTAAGCCATCTCCCCTCCCCCATCCCGCAGCATCTCTGATAGAGGCAGCAAGTGGGGGGGAAGCAACTAGTCTGAGGGACTAGTCAACTATCCGATAAGCTTATGCTTATTAGATAGTCGTCTAGTTGCTTACATCCCTACTCAGAGAATGTTCCTGATCAAAGATTTAGAATTTCTAATGTAAAGGGGCTGTCATCTTTTGTGCAAGTCAGTTACAAAGTGCCACATTTCCAAACCTAAACTGATTGATTCCCTGTTTATATTAAAATGAATTTTCCTTTTGGTAATATTTTTTTCTGCCCACTCCTTCCCCATACATATGGTTTTTTGCTCTTCTATTAAATCCTCTTCCATTCTTTGGGAATTTTCTCTACTCTCAAAAACAAAATAAAAACACTACATCCCAGAAGCATGTCTTCTGTCTCAATAAGCATGAGAGAAGACCTAATGCAAGTTAACAGTTTCTGGCTTCTCTGTAGTGAACTTGAGCTATGTATGCTCTTTTGGGCTATGTCTACACTACAGAGTTTTTTTTCTGGAAAAACAGCTGTTTTTTCTAAAAAAAAAACACTTCTCTTCACTGCAATTGCATTCTTTTGGGAAAAAAAATCAAAAGAACGGAGGGGGTTTTCTGACATTGGTAAACCTCTTTCTACAAGGAAGAAGACTTTTGGAAAAAGTCATGTGTGGATGGGGAAGAGGGAGTGGACAGGGAAGAGGAAAGAGGAAAAAGCACAGGAGTCCTGGTGGCCACTCCGTCCATAGTAATCACAGCTTACCTGCAAGAGAGTCCACACTGAATAGATGCTATCTTCCAAAAAAGCAGATCACTTTTTTGATGCTCTTTTGCATTGTGGACACTCTCTTTGGTGATCGTCACAAATGTTTAATAAGGGAGGATAGTGAACCTAGGAGAAGTCATTTTAAATTAGCCTAAAACAAAAGTATATACAGTAGAACTTCCCAATACCACATTGAAAAGCAAAAGAATTTCCTCAAACAGTGAAGACCAATCTTGAATGGTTTTGACAATGTTCAGCAACAACCTTTTTTTGTTTTTGTTTAATAGACAATAAAAAACAAAATTTTAGATTTCTTGAATCCGCTGACATCACAACTTGGAGTCCAGTTAATATCAGCAGTAGCAGCAGTGTGGAACAGCAAAAAAGCTCATAAGGATCGAAGTAAAATAAAGGTGAAGTTAAAGAAATGTTAATTCATAAGATGGTTTATATTCTAATGAGACTTCAGAGGCTTTGTTCCTGGGTTCACTGAAGACTCTCGTGTTTTATGTTTTGTTTTTGTTGTACAAGTGGCAAAGAAAAGCCATTAGATAAGAACTTTAAGTCAATATAATGGTTTAAAATTTTAAATGTTTATAAAATGATTATATTTGCTCCATTTCCTTGAAGACTATAAATAAATGGAACAAATGTAATCAATTAGGAAAAATAAGGATTTTAATATGTTTGCATGTTGAAGAAAAATACTGCAAAAAGAAAATATTTTACTTAGAGAATCAAGAGACGTTTTGTCACTACTTCTGCAACATATGTGAGCTTCCTTAGACTTTTTTAGAGCTTTTTTATTTCAGAGGGAAGAAGTCATGGTTCTGTCTTGCCAGCCTGCTGCTGAGCAAGATTCATCAAAGTCAAAGGCATACAAATTCAGTCTGCAGAGTTATGAAGGTTTATCTTAAATATTAAATACCTTAAACCATTTTTATTGACCAAGATAAATTCTTTATCTTTCTTACTATAAATTTTCCATGACACAAATAATCTTACTGGCTTCCACTTTTCTGGGGGGAAAAAAAACACAACAATTTTATAAAATAGTAGACCTTATTTATCAATACTTGATGTTGGAAATAGAAATTTAAAAAAAAAAAAAATTTAATTTTACATGCAAGCTAAAACAAGATGCTCATTCTGTACATTATTACAATTTATTTTAGAACCTCATTTCAAAGTTAAATAATGATAGCTGTCCAGAGAGTGACCTTTCACTTTTTTTGTCTACTTTCAAGGTAATATGACCTCTCAAACATTTTCACAAAATGGAATTGTCAAAATAGATGTATTCAGATTTAAAAGCTCAGCTTTCATTCTCTCTCGCTCTCTGGTCAGCATGTTAATACCAAGCCTTTTGAGTTATTGGCACCCAAAGGATTCCATTGGTGTTCCTCCATTGGTGTTCAAGGTTTCAGGTCCAGAGCAGGAAAGTAAGATGTAGTTCCCTTTTGGAGCCAAACATGGTTAATAAGTACAAGTCCTCTTCCTAATCCACCTAGTCTGACTACATCACCTCCATTATTATGCTCCCAGAGACTGAGTGAAAGAGACTCCAACTCTGATCCCTTTGTGGCTCCTTTTATGTAGAGCCCTGCAAGTCCACAAATATCCGCGGCTCATTTTTCACATGTGGATGCAGGTACACATTTTGTATCCACACAGGGCTCTACTTTTATATCAGCATGTGGCATAGTTCTTAAATCACTTATTTGAGTTTCATATGTATGTTTGCATGTAGTTTAATGGTGTGAAATGCTGTTTTCCTCCCGTCTTTCCCTGGTACAGTGAACTCAGTGATGTTTGTGTTGTTTAGATCCTTCCAGTGGCCAGCACATCTCAGCTTATTCTTGTGGACTTAGTGTGTGCACTTACCACTCTGAAGACTGACATTATATTGCAGCTAGTAAAAGAAGTTGTCAAGAAACCATTCCAAATAAAAGGCGAAGAGGTATCTGCTAAAATAGTATTTAGCTTCATTAGGTCTTCATTTTTCCAAGGTGTCCCTGAAAAAATCTCTACTAAACCTATTAGATGAGAAGGGTTTTCAACATTTAATTATTCTTTTATGGTTACTGGTAATTATTATTAGAATTTGTTTCCTCATCGTATTCTGTACCTGATTAAGCATGTATCCAATATGCATATCCTTCTGATTTTTTTTACAGGAGTACTTGTTGGTTGCTTTGGCAGTACTTGTCTGTTACTTTGGCAGCACAAAGCAGAGTTAAAGCCAGCATAACAGACTTCCTATGAATTCTCTCAGCATAGATTTAATAAGCGATTGTGATGGTTCCATCCCCTTTGCCCTCAGCAAAGAGAGCATGGACAGGGACTCGTGTTTGTGACTTGCCATTCTGTATCCCAGGATAGAGTGAGGCAAAGGAACTTTTTGCACTGGAAACGCCCTAAAGTAGCAGCAGCTCCCTGGAGCTGTTACAAAAATCTTGCTCCATCTATATTAAATCCATAGTCCAGATAAAAAATGGATAATTTAAATATTAAATTTCCCTGCAAGATTATCAAACATTTGCCAAGCACTTTGAGAAAGAAAAGAGATCAGAAATAGCTATACAGGAGCTAAGTATTTTGTTAATAGCTAGTCACTTTCACTTTCAGCTTCTCATGCACTACAATGCTCTGCCTAGGCTCCAAACTTTCTGGACAATGTTTAAACTTAAATTTTATTTACATTTTCATTGAAAAATCTTAACAAACGTGAATATTTTGCATTCTCTTTGTATTAGGTTTGGTCAATATTCTTTAATTTGAGGCCTGAACTATGTTCCAGTATTCTGTTAAGCCATTGAAACATTAGAGCAAACATTTGAAACAGAATTCACAAAGCAGACAACAAAATTCTTCAGATTTGTTAATGGTGATCCAATGTCTCCCTTCAAATTGAGTAACTTGCATAAAATATACATATTTTACCATTTCTTGGTGTTTATCTTAGTGTAATTGTGTGTCTATAATTCAGCATAACAGAAATAGATACATAACACTTGGTATTCAGCATATCAGAAATAGATACTTAACAATTGTCCTGCCTTTCAAACAAAAAGCATACTTTAAACAAAATCCAATCCTAGTGAATGTTTTAAAACTCATTCAGAAATAATTTCATTAGTAAAACTTTTTGAGAGTCTTCTTTTTTTATTAAAGAAGAATGTTAAAATTGTAAGTGGAACTTAGTCATTTGCCATCTTGTCCAGTTACCCAGGAAATGCAGATTTCAGAGGCTTTTATGAAACCACACTTTTCAGATTTATTACAGCAAGTTTGGCATAGCAATGACTTCCAATTATTCTAGTTAATGATGTTGCTTCTGTGGTAGTTTTGCTGTTTAACAGCTTGCTTTGAAAGAAACCAGCTTTGTTATCATCCACAGATGTACATTAGCAAGTGTGTCTAGGGTTTTGGAAAAATGTCTGGTGGACATAAAGAACGTGTCTTATTTTGTACCGAACTGCCCATTATATCTGAACAGATGAGTTACAGCCTGTCATTCTGACGGGAAGACGGATTGCTTTCTGGAAGGGGGATCAAGTTTCCCATTAAACACTGAGTTCTCAACAAGCTTAAATTTTATTTTGTTATAAAGCAAGAACATAATTATTGGTTTTATTTTCAGAAAACTTCTCTAGTGGATATCCCAGTACTGAAATTCAGCTATGCTTTCATTCAAAGGTAACGTGGTTGTTACATAAAGTGAGTTCCATTTAGCTACAAATGGTATTCCAGTAACTAACAACTAGCATTACTACTTTAGCTTTATTTTGACTTGGCACAAGAAACCTCTACATCATCAGTGCTTACTGAAGCCGAATTGGACAGCCACTACATTGTCAAATGACAGACTGACTGTCCAGATGTTCTGTGATTGCATTAATATATTGGTGTTTGTGTTGTTGTGACACACAGTCGTCATGTACTGACACAACAGCATGTTATAGCGTTCTTATATTGTCAGGATATTATGCTGAAATTTTCATATGACCTTTCTCCAACTCTGACACTTTTCAATTGCTGAAAGCGTGTATGAAGGATACTTCTCCATGATCTCCCTTCCAGGTTTCTTAGGGAGGGTTTCTTGTGTTTCCAATTTATACTCTGCATTCATCATGTTAGACAGCATGGGAGTGATCAAAATTCTTCTTAGCATACACTGCTGTGTAGCCATGGAACACCTTGGGATATTAGCGTGCCAAGCCTTCTCATATCACACTCCTGAAGACCTTCCTCTTCTTTCACAGCACTGGTGCATTTCGTAGACTCGAAGCCTAGCTTTAGTTTGCAAATCAGCCAGAGTCCTGAGTTAATTCTGCTTACTGTGTTCATTTTGATGTCCTACTATTACATTAGTGTATAGATGTAATATAATATGTCTAGCGTTCTTATATTGTCAGGATATTATGCTGAAATTTTCATATGACCTTTCTCCAACTCTGACACTTTTCAATTGCTGAAAGCGTGTATGAAGGATACTTCTCCATGATCTCCCTTCCAGGTTTCTTAGGGATGCATCTGACGAAGTGGGTCTTTGCCCATGAAAGCTTATGCTCCAACACTTCGGTTAGTCTATAAGGTGCCACAGGACTCCTCGCCGCTTTTGCGTAATATATCAGTGTGCATTGACAGCTATCATGGTACTTAGACACAAATACAATAGATAGTAGTTCATTAAACTTGGAGAACTAAAAGACTAAAGTTGCTGTGGAGCTCTTAGAGCCAACTATCTGTGTCTGTGCCTGATGTATTGTTTGACATCAGACTTGCATGTTTTTGGCAGACTTCCGGCTTCCGCCCTGCAGGAGAACTTTCAGCCATTGTTAGGAGTGCTGAAGGAATCTGTGCAACTGAACTTGGCTCCCCCTGGATATTTCCTGCTTCTGAGGTATAGCACACACCAAGGTGGCTTGATTTCATTTGAACAATTGAGTAACACTGTCCATATTACTAACTTGGGATGCATTTATTTCCCCACAGTACTCTGAATGACTTTGTGACCAGAACTCCTAACCTGGAAAATAAAAAGGATCAAAAAGACCTTCAGGTATTGTGTACACACATGTTTAGTTCACAAATCTGGCACTACGCTCTTCATTATAAATAGAGATTAGCCCACACTCAACTCCTTGTCTGAACTGCCACATACTTCGAGAAAGTTTGGGTATGATATAAGCCAGTAAGTATGTGACCATGCATAAAACATAATTTTCCAACTAACAAATGATATTGTATATGTTTTGATAAAATTCTGACATGGCTCAAGATGCTTATTGGCCAAAGCAGTCTTTAGGTTGGGTGGCTTTTGTGATGTCCTTCTCCAGTTTAAATTCATAACACATATGATGTCACTGGATCACTCTGCTTGCATTGTCATTGAAATTTTCAAAACCAAGTAAAAGAACTAGGTGCACTTTTCCTGTTGAAGTCAATGGGAGTTGTATAACTACATCCTCTAGTTGGCTTTGGCAAACTCAACTGTTTTATCCATTCACATAATTATGTATGTGAAATTGCATTAGAGCAGGATTCTTTTATCCTACTGTTTCTGCTTTTGCCATGTTAGCTGAAGCACCACAGCCTTGTCTCAATCATCTTTTCACTCTGAATTTTAGGTGAAATATTGAAAAGTGAATTTTCTCATAGCTGTGATTGTGATGCTCATGCTGTCCAGCAGACAGAGTAGAGATGTGAATGACTTCCTCCAATTCTGCTCCATAAACTGACTAGCAAGACAATTGTGTAGTGAATGCCTGGCTTCTTACAGCATTATCAAGAATTATCTTACTTTTCTAGAAGCCTTGAAAGGGGTGCCTGAAGTTTCCAAACCAGAGTCTCCATTCTGTAGCGATTAGCTCTATTGCTCAAACATGAGGCTTTGAGTGGGGTTTGATCCAGCCCTTCAGTGGGAAGATTAAAATATAGCCAGATGAATCCACAAAATTAAACCTATACTGTTAAATCACTCCATTAAAAGTAATCAACATCCCATCTAATTTAATATACAGGGAAACCCGGTAGCTGAAAAAAGGAAAAAGAGGTTTTTGGCCCATACGTTTGGAGCCTAAAGAACTATAATGGGCATTTGATGAATTTTTTTTCTGAAATCTGAAAAACAAATTCAGAACAAACTAATCTTTGAGAGATGATTGCTAATTAATGCAGTATAGTGAATACTTTGCAATCTTCATTTGAGATCATTTGAAGATTGCTTCATGAGAACTGAAAAATATCTCAATCAGATTTTGTAGCTCCCCAAGGAGACAATTAAGAAACCTCAGTGGATGAAACCCCTTCATTAAAATGTAGTAGCTTGGCAGGTAAAAGACTGGGAGTCTGGAGAGCCAAGTACGTATGCATAGAATCATAGAATACTAGGACTGGAAGGGTCCTTGAGAGGTCATTGAGTCCAGTCCCCTGCCGTCATGCAGGACCAAATACTGTCTAGACCATCCCTGATAGACATTTATCTAACCTACTCTTAAATATCTCCACAGATGGAGATTCCACAACCTCCCTGGGCAACTTATTCCAGTGTTTGACTATCCTGACAGTTAGGAACTTTTTCTAATGTCCAACCTAAACCTCTCTTGCTGAAGTTTAAGCCCATTGCTTCTTGTTCTATCTCCAGAGGCCAAGATGAACAAGTTTTCTCCCTCCTCCTTATGGCACCCTTTTAGATACCTGAAAACTGCTATCATGTCCCCCCTCAGTCTTCTCTTTTCTAAACTAAACAAACCTAATTCCTAATAGGATGGACTATTAGAGAAATATACAGTGACTTGAAACCTGTTAATTTGTCCATTATCATAAGAGAGAATCCCCTAGTTGATCTTCAAAAAAGTCCATCAAATTATTAGAGAAAACATTAAGTATAACAATTTGGAATTTTGGGGGTTCAGTGTGTGTGTGTGTGTGTGTGTGTGTGTGTGTGTGTGCACCTTATTATCATGTTAACAGCATTACTATTGCATTCCTGTTGGCTCTCTCGTCTTGTCCTGATGGCCATGAAGCAGTGGGAGATAAGATCTATAAAGAATAAATTCATCATCTAGCCTGATACAAGATAGAAGGGGGGAAAAAACACTTGTCAGAGGGATTAATATTAGCTTTAATATTTCCAACCAATCTGATACAGTGGAATCTTCAACAACAGCAATGTTTTCTGTGACCTAGATTCTCCTAAACTGCCGATGTTTAAAATTTTCATGATTTACATCTAGAAAGCAAATGAGGAAATAGAAAGAATGAAGACTTTCTAAACAGACTTGGGCTAGTGTGTGCCACACTACACAGGAAGTGAAAAACTGGAATGGGTTGCTTGTTTCTTCTTTTTATAAATCTTTGATTCTGCTATTCTTCTTTGAGTGCTTGCTCATGTCCATTCAGCATAGATGTGTGTGCCTGCCACATACACCAGTGTCAAAAGTTTTTTCCCTAAGCAATGCCCATAGCGGACAGGGTCCCTAGTGCCCCTTGGATTACGCACACATATGCCGCATTATATCGGACACTCCCCAGCCCTTCCCTCCTCAGTTTCTTCTTACTGCCAATGATGGTGCTTGGAACAGCATGCTCCAGCCTTAGCTGTAGCTAGCGTTCCCTAATCCTATTGTTTTATAAATAGTTTTCTCACTATTTTAAGTACTGGTAAATAGATGTGCACCAGGACAATATTATATTTGTGAGTCTTTTATCCCAGGCCTCATGTGACCAGTGAGGAGAGGCACCGCTTCACATTGACGTTCAGAGAGTGCTGGCCTTCTACTTAGGAGGAGGCCCTTTTGCAAGTCCACCTAGCTTTTTGTGGCCGACGCAGAGGAAGGGAGGAGTTTCTCAATTTCCTCCCAGAGACTCTTGAAGTGGATCACTTCCTGCATCCATATGTGCTACGAGTTAGTGGGTGCCCAGCCGCCAGCACTGATCAGGGCCCTCTCTACCAGAGCTTAGGCTTCAGATCCAGGACATCTGCCAAGCAGTGACGTGGTCGTTGGTGCATACCTTCACGTCTCATTATGCCATCATGTAGCAGGCTCAGGATGACACTGCATTTGGCAGGGCTGTACTGCAGTCTGCATGTCCTTAACTCCTACCCACTTCCGTAGACACTGCTTACCGTCATCTCTGTTGAATGGACTTGAGCAAGCACTCATGTTCTTCGAGAAGTGTTGTGCATGTCCATTCCTCTTGAACACCAGTTACAGAACAGGTAACTGTCTTTTCTCTATCCAGTGCTTAACACTTGTGTCACAGTGAAAAAACACTGTCAAAACTTCTGATTGTGATTATAAGGATAGTTGTGAAGAGTAGATTATAGTGTGAGGTATTTTTGTTGTTATAGATTAATTTTCTTGAATATTAGTGTTTTAGCCCAGATATACGTATGCATACATACGTGAGTTCATAATGACCTTTACATGGAAAGGTATGATTAAGACCTGTACATTAGTCTATTCTAACCCAAAGCTTCTTTCTTTTTTATTGTTCATGCCTGTTGCCAGCTGAAATGAGTGACATTTTACCTTCTACAGAATGCTGATAAATGTTTCTCTGCTCTATTTATTACTTCTCTCTATATGGTGTGTATATATATGGTACAAAATACAGAACATGTGCCAGTTGCTAAATAAAACATAAGCTTCTTTGGACTGGCCAGGTCCCAGTAGCTTTCCTCTGATACAGTGTGGCATTGATTACTTTTCAGGATGTGACCCAAAAAATCTTGGAAGCCGTGGGGAATGTCGCTGGTTCCTCCCTGGAACAAACTAGCTGGCTGAGCAGGAACCTGGAAGTGAAAGCCCAGCCTCAGATATCTTTAGTTGACACTGGTGCCGAAGAGGAGTTGTATGGTAAGGTTGTTTCTTAAGAATACAATGCAATATATGACTCTCTTGCCACTTTTCTGTACCATTTAGTATAAAGTTTAATGGATTTGTGCTCATGTGAAAATATTTTATTATCATACAAATTGCTGAAGAGAATTAACTGATATTTTAAAAACAAAACAATCCCCCCCCCCCCCCCAAAGAAAAAACCTAATGTGCACCTAAATGAGAGGATAATAGATCTTTAAGTACAAATTCGGATATCTAATATTACTTTGTCAGAATCTGTCTGTAACATGTACTACACTAGAGAGAATAAACTTAAACAACAAATAGTCTTGCAGCAACACTGGAGAGAAATATTAAGGCAATAAATTCTATATGCCATCCTAAATAGAGTTCAAAAAGTGCATAGAAACCATGTTTGTAATGATAAAATAGATTGCTATATTAAGCTTTTTGATTTGTAAGAATCTGATCTCTTTTCACGTATACTTAAATACAAAAATTCAGTTGTTTTTGATCACTCTCACTTAAGAGCATTTTTCTAATGTGATGCAAGGACAAGTCTGAAACCCAAATATTCATGAGTTTTAATTGTAGCTCTGAGTCATTCAAAGGAGTCAAATCATTTTATCACTTTGCTTCCTTCTGTGGTGGTAAAATGTCTTCATTGGGGTGAAGGCTATGCAAAGTGATTTGTTCATACACCACCTGCAGGAGTGAAAGAGAAGCAAAATGTTATATAAATCGTAAGGCCGGCATTTTCAGATTAGATAGTTAGTCAGTACAAGCTTAGGGTGATTGGCAGCATTGAAAATTGAAACATTTCATTGTGGATGTAGGAGCCAAACAGTAGGCACCCAGATTTGAGAAGTTAAACATCAGTATTTTTTGTTACAGATGTGTATATTGAATTGCTGCTTAGTGAGAGATTTTATTATAATACCAGTGTTTAAATAACTATTTGAGGTAGAGGTTCATAGGGCATGACCTGATATTCTGGAGGAATCAGCATTGCTAGTTATTAGTTGCTGTGGTAAAATGTGGGCATTATCTGTTTCCTAAATCTATTCATGCCTCCACCCCTCCAGTCTGAGAAGTTCTGGTCTTGACCCAGACTCCCATCAATGCTCTTCCAACTAGGTCTCAATCTGCCCCTTTTGAGGATTTTACACCCATCCCAAATTCTAAGTCGCCTCAGACCCAGCACTGTCGAGGGACATCCCTACACTGTCAGTGCATCACTTGCCAGTTCCAAGTCCCAGCTGCAGCGTGGAGGCTCTGACACCGTTGGTATGCTACTCACCAGGTTTTGCCTCTGGTGGAAAGTGCAGTCAGCTCCACCAAGAGTTAAATGACTCCTCTTCCATGGATGAACAAGTAGCAGCACTGAGTGTTCTCTGACCATCCTGAAGTGAGACAACAGCCCAGACAGGGCTTCCAGAGCCTCCTGAATGGCTCCAATAATGCATTTTGCAGGAATGTGTGTTAGGGGCCAGTACTATCTGCCATAAGGCCCACCACCATATCTTTATGATCCCACCCACTGGCCATTGTGGACTCCTGGGATCCATGCTTCCAGATCCTGGACTACAAGGATCCTGGGCATTGCATTCAATGCCCTTCACTTCCTAGAGAGGAATCTCAGTCCCTCCCCTGACCCTGCCCTTGCCCCCTTCCAGGGATGCCTTGTAGAAGAGGAATAGCTGCTTCTGCTGGCAGCACTTTTTTTTTTCTTCCTCTCTCTCACTACCAGCCAATTAGAGGCAAAAGGACTGCTTTAGAAGGATTGCAAAAACTCCCCAGCTCGCACTACAACAGGTTCCGGATCCTGCCCATAAATTCCTTGATATTCTCTATACTGGGTCTTTCTAAGGTTGCACTCCCTAATAGTGAAGCCGTACTAGAGCCTTCTAGGGCTAAGCGGGCTGAGAAGAAGTACTTTGTTCCTTCCGAAGGGGCAAATATTTGTTTTCCCATTCTGTAGTGGTCCAGGCAGTCACAGAACAAAACAGATTACACCTGCCTAGGTCCCACTCTTTGGACAAAGACACCAAGTTCCTAGGTCTCTTTTGTGAGCAAGAACTTTTCATCTGCTAGCCTATTATTTGCATAGCAAATTACCAGCAGCCAGTGTCCAGATATGACTTTATTAATAAGAATATACTGTCAGAGTTTGCTAATAAGGAACATAAGCCCCAATTCCAGTGTATTTCCCCAAGAATTACATGGGACTTTTTTTTTTAGGACAGTGGTTCTCAAAGTCAGGTCCATGACTGCTTTTCCCCTTCTCCCCCCCCCCCCCCCCCCCCCCCCCATTCTGAGGACTTCCTGAAGTATGCAAGAAGTGAGCCCATTCCCCCCCCATGAGGTTGGAGCACCAGAGCCAGCTTCCTGCCATGGGGGAGGAGGAGAGTGAATCTCATGGGCTAGATGCAGCTCCACACACTGCTGCTCCCCTTCCCTCTGGCTGTGGGAACAGCAACAGAGGAAACTGCTCACCTGGAGGCTTTACCCATTGATCCTATTGGCCGGAATCATGGCCAATTGGAGCAGTGGGGGTTGGTGCCTGGGGTAGTGAGAGGCACAGAGGCCAAGTAAGCACTCAGGCATCCTCCTCCCCTTACACGCTCCCCTCCTGCCAAGACCCCCCCCACACTTCATCCCGTTCCTACACCCTACCTCTTTCCATGACCTCCCCTCACTCCTGCACCCTACTGCCTCCCTCCCTTCTTCCCCCCAAGACTTTTCCCACCCCCAGCCTGCTCCTGCAGCCAACTTCCTGGCCAGATCCCTCCATCTCTAGCCTTCTTCTGCTCCCATTTTGTCATCATGGGTGGTTGGCTGGTGGTCTGTTGGGGGGAGGGGTGTGCCACAGGTCAAAAAGTTTGAAAGGCACTGTTTTAGGAGGGAAAAGCAATACACTGTGTATTTATTAAGAATACAAAGTAAACCCAAACCACATACTCCAAGTGTGCGTGCGCGTGCGCATGCACGCCATCTTGCTGATATTATAATTACCACTCTATTAATTGCATCAGCCTAGTGGACAGTTAGGCTAAGTGGGAGAAGGGAGTTGAGTTTCTGTCGGTCCAGACTGATGCTCCGGTCTTAGCAGGACAAAGATCCAAATTATCTAGGAAGACATCCCATCTTTTTTATAGGAGTCCCTTCTCCTGCAAATCTGTGGATTTTGCTGCATCATGTTGTAATAGGTCACTTTGCAACATATGTTTATCTGGAGATTGTTTAATATCAGGCTGCTGAGGACTTTTGAGTGTTGCCCCACCCTAGTTTTGATGGGATTTGTTAACGTCACACATTTGTGTGAGCACATTTGATAGTTCTTCGAGTGCTTGCTCATGTTCATTCCAGTTAGGTGTGTGAGCGCCACATGCACGGCGTTCCGGAGCTTTTTCCCCTAGCAGTATCCGTAGGGCCAGCATGGGGAGCCTCCTGGAGTGGCACCGGCAAATCGGTGCCTATATACCCCTGCTGGACTCTTACCGCCAGTGACAGTAGCTGGAGCGCTCTAGACAATTAGTCTACCCTAGCTTGTTGTAATTAGTTATTGTTCTGATAACTATTTACACTACAACTAAAGAAACTAAGTGTTAGTGATAAGAGGGCCTATTATCCCCCACGCCTCTCCCAGGCTGGGGAAGGGATGCCAGGGTCCCACGGCCTTAAGCAGTGTGCATCCTACCATAAGCCTATGCCCATTGGTGACCCCCATGACTCCTGCTTAAGGTGCCTGGGGGAAACGCACTCTACTCAGACGTGTAAAATCTGTCGGGGATTCAAGCCCAGAACCCGGAGAGAAAGAGACGCCAGACTGAAGAAGCTGCTCATGGAGTCCACTCTGCAGCTGCCGGCACTGGAGGGGCCTCAGTCGGTGTGGAGCACCCCTTCCTCAGCACCAGAGGGCGCTGCGGCTCCGGCCAGACACAAGTCAAAGGCTTCTCGGCACGGATCACACTCCCCGGTGCCAAGGAGGCCAGAAGCAGGTCCCTGAAAAGGAGGAATCAAAAAGAGCACCCAAAGGAGGGGCACTTAGCAGCAAGGATTCCTAGGGAGCTGTGCAAGGAGCCAGGTCACTCTTGTTCTCTCTTGAAGGGAGAAGCTGAGGGACCACTGCAGGAACGGAGACCGTCGACCCCAGAGACTTTTGACGTGGCTCGGGACCTGATAGCAATGACCACGCAGGAACCGCTGCCTCCCCTGGTACTGAACCTGTGACACTCCGCTGCCCCAACAGGGTCTTGGGGGCCTAGCTTAATGGTGCTGCTAGCGTCCGGGGCACCTTACCAGTTCCCAGTGCTCACCACCGCCTGTGGGCACTAGCACTCCGACCCCCTGAGTCCCAGGACAGTCCTCAGCACGGGCCACCACTCCAACGGCGGTGCCATACTCTACTGCACTCGGTACTGTTCCCAGTGCTGACGGGGTGCCGGGGGCAACGCTGGCACTGATAATACTGGCGGTACTGACCCTGACACCAGCACCGACACCGAGCATGATGGTGACACCGCCACCCATTTGGTCAGCAGCACCAGAGAGAGCTCAGACAGTGGTGCCATTAGGTGCTCCGACCCCCCCACGCTCTGGCCAGTTTCAGCACCGAGCCATGCACCATCCCCAGAACCACCGGTGCTGTCTTCCTCCCTCCTAATGCAGCCCTTGGTGGTGCCACTATCCGCCATGTGGTCGGCATTGGGGGCTGCTAACATCCCACCCCACCTGGCACCGCTGGCCCCAGAGGTGCCAGCCCTGGTACCTATGTCTGCAGCAGCGGCCCAGACCCTGTTGTCCCCGGTACTGTTGGTAGCATCTCGCGGAAAACTGAGGGCAATGGCGCATCACCAGAGGGAGCAACGGTCTGCGCCACCGTGGTCAGCCTCAGATTACACATCGAGTCGGAAGCAGAGTCCCTGAGATTGGGCACGACTTCCTACAGGTCGAGGTGTCTGGAGACACCGCTCATGGTCCCAACATGAAACCTCACAGGGTATGGGACCCCA